TTCTGACTATTCCAAGCAGCAAGATGAAAGTGAAGAATGAGAGAAAAGGTTAGAGGAATCTCAGGAAGAGAAGGGCACGTTCTGCCAGCGCCTGCCTCTATTTGTCTTTGTATGCCTCAGCTTCGAGGCCTAATTAGTCTGAGTAAATATTGCTGTTGCTCTTAGTCTCCCTCTGTATGTTCACACACACTTTCACTTTTCTGTGTGTTGGGAGCCAAAGGAAAGCCGGCGACCTTTAGGTCACCGGGGAGGATTTCTGATCATGGGCTTTGAAGCCGCCGCAGGGTTCAGAGGTTATTTGTCAAGAAGTTCGTAGTCCGGTTTGGGATGATCCTGTGGGGAGTGACCCGAAGAGACCTTGGTCTGAAATATTCACCAAGACGCTCTCACATGGGGACCGCTGAGCCGGGCCACATCCACTCTACCACGCAGACAGGGAGTTGTGTGTGTGTGTGTGTGTGTGTGTGAATGCAATCAAGAAACACTGTGCAATCATTCTCATAATTCGACTGTGAGTGAGCACATAATGATGATTTCCCTAATCAAGTCATTTATTCTACACTTTTTATTCTGATTGATTAATTTGTGTTTATTGTGTATGTCAATAAATATTCATATCAATCAAATCTGCACTTTGAATGATGCGATCTCGGGAAGCGGTGGCGAATCCTTGCTTTTGAGTTGTTAGCAGCAGATGTCAAACATTCTTGCTTCATGTTTATGGTGGTTAATTAATATGGTGGCAAATTTTTGTATTGACTAATTTACTTACCGTTTCAGCACTAGTGCGATGAGTTTAAATCTGTACGTGTTGCTGTGTAAGTGAGCTTGGTGTGCTCATTTTTGGATGTGTGTGTGTGTCTATGGTGTGCATGGTCTTGTGGGTACATGTGGAATGTGGCGACTCAGCTACGCTTCCTCTCCACTGATGCTTCTGTTCATTCATTCTCGTGTATACACCCTTTATATTTAGTCTTGTGGTAGTAACTGTGTGTGTGTGTGTGTGTGTGTTGGTGTTTCTGTGTTGATGATTTGTAATAAATGAGGATATGTGGGGCAAAGGCAACAACACTGCAGTCCACTACCTTGGATGAGTCACTCGTTTGAATATATCACCATCCAATATGTCTCCGAGGGGCCACAGTGGCTTAATTCCTGGAAAGGATGTCTTATGTCCTCTTGGAGGGTGTTGCTGGGATATTCAAGCAAACAGGGGAAAACAAATTGTTCCCCAAATGTTCATGTGTAAGTTAAATGTTTATTGCAGAATTTTTTCTTCAATATTTGGTATAGATGTTTCTGTCTGCACAATCTAGAAAATTTGATTCTGGGCCTCAGCCCGAAATTAGACTTGAATGGATGCAACCTCAGAATAAGACACCGATGGTTACTCCTCTGCGCTGCTTCCAGCTCAATTTGATCCCACATGGAGGACCATTTGTTACCTCATCAGACTCCCGACAAGTTGTTAAAACATCTATTTAAAATGAATTGGCTCTTTAAATAATATTGTTTACATTTAATTTATGTATAATGTCAGTCTTTTGAATGGCAAGCGTGGACACAAATGTTATGATGAAGTGATGTCAGTCGTTTCCATGTTGTGCCACATAGTTCGGTGTTTGTGTTTGGACCTCAGGTCTACCGCTGTGTATATGACTAGGTCTACATCTATACTTTATAATTTGTGTGTCTGCGTGTTTTGTTGTTGCGATAGAAGTTGCTGTCCTCAGCAGCTGCTCCACGCAGCTGGTTTGAATAAATCAATACAAAACCATTGAGCTGCATTGAGACCTTAAAGTGCTCGTGTCAGTTTCTTTCCCAGAGTGCTGCCTTTACAGAGCCTGGAAAGGATCAACACACAAATGCACACATGTGCAGACACAGACACACAAAAAGACCAATGCAATGTGTTTCAATGACTTTGGCTGCAAAAACACAGTAAAGTATTAGCTCTGTTGTGCCCTGGAGCTTAGATAAACACACAAAATACAGTGGCAGTTTATTGTCTAGCTGTCACTTAGACACGCGTACACACACGCACAAACACACACAAACCTACTGTGATGGTCAAAAAACTACAAGACTAGTGTGTATTATGTCAAACACCCTAACGGTTCAAGGCCTGTACGGAGAAACCGGTTGATACAGTTATGAACCTGAACTGGAAGGAGAGAAGGAATGTGGGTTACGCCACACGCACAAACTCCAGGGCCTCTACGTCACATCTCTATCTTCTGGCCTTTAATTGACATGAATGTAACATAAAAATATAACTTTTTTTGTTCAATGCATTAGTTAATAAGTTGTCACTTGAGCAGCCGATCTCGTCCAACGTCAAAATAGATAAAATCTAAGTTTAATATTTCACTGATTTTAATACATTTTTTGAAGTTGAGTGATACCTCAGACAATCAGACGTATAGAGACATTGACTTACTCAGATATGTAATGAGGATTCGGTGATGTTGTTCAATGTTAAGTCTCTCTAAATATAGAAAAGATATAGCTCTCTTCTTTCCCAGTAGTCCATGTAACTCATTGGAATGTACGATCCAACACATTGTTAATAAAGTGTTTGTGTGCGTCTCATAAACGGCCTTCGTCGCCCGCTCGGCGAGGCTCTCCGACCCTAAGTCAGGGCTCTTGTTGGCCTTCAGGCTGAAGATGTCCGCCAAGTCGACAGTGTCCCAGGGCTTGGAACAAGACACACAGTGATTCCTCACTCCCAAATTAATAGTTCATTGTTAGTTACACATTAATAACTCATTTCTGCAGACACATGCGCAGAACATAGAGCGTGGGGCTCGGTCCTGCCCGTTGGCGTCACAGTGGCCAATTTAACCTGTGGTGTATTTTACATTTGCACCTCATGACAGATTATCCCGTATCCATGAAACAATCATAAACCAAATCATTGAGATTGACTTTAGCTCTGCCAATAATGTCATCAATTCGGTTCTTTGTCTTTGTCATAAAATGTTGTTAAATGTTAAAAAAATCAAGAGGTCAACGATTGCGTTGAGTTACTTTTATTCTTTAGTAGCGTTGTGTTCTAGACTTCTGGCTCAAAGGTCCGTCATCAAAATAAAGCAGAATAAATGGTCGGGCTTCAAATCAAAGGATGTTTATTCTTAACAAGATCATGAAGTCACAGATTGAATCACATAAAATAATATTCGGTCGAATAGAGGCCTGTGGTTACAGTTAGCTGTCCAGTGTCCCACTAGCTCACCTGAATTCCTGTGTTTATATTTCCACGTTTTTTTCCCGCCATTTTCTCCTTAAGTCATCAATACATTCAGCTCAGTGATTGGCTGATACCTCCGCAAACCGCACCCCTGAGGGTTTTCCTCCCGTACAACCGCCTTCATCTTATATGGAGTTTACCAGTCAGCTTCCTGTGCTCTCAAGCATTGTGCAACACATCTAATAACAAAGAAAAGCACGTCTGTGGCTATTAGGAATGCTTTTAAGTAGCTGGTTGGAAAACCTCTCCAGCATTTACTGAAATGTTTTTTTAATTATTTAAGTACGTGCATGTGTGCGTGTGCGGCAGTTGGATTCACAAATAACTGTTGCAAACATTCTGCAGTACACAGATTGACTTATGAACACACGCACTCCACATCAGACTGACGCACACGCTGTCACATGTGCGCCGGATACTCATCAGTCACACTTACACAGGTGGACACATCCCTGCATACAGTATATTTCCCTTTTTCTTTTGAATAAGAAACTCTGCGGCGTTGACTCTCATGACATGTAGTCAGGTCATGATCTGACAAAGATGAATAAAGGCTTATTTGTTTAAGAAAGCAGACTCCCGGACCAGGCTCCTTTACGACCTGGTATCTCCGTCAGTCGTCGACATGCTAATGAGGTTAGCACCCTTTAGCTGTTTGAACAGCGAGGCCAGCTAGCCAGGTTACTCTGTGTTTGGACAGGCTGATAGCGCCTGGCTACGGGCCACTACTCTGATCCACTGTTTGTATATTCCCTTGTTGGCCCTGCGCTACTGTGAAGACGGCCAAAAGCTCCGGGCTGATGTGCAAACACAAACGGTGAAACACCCAGTATTACGTTACCCCCTTCTTTTTGTTGTGCGCGCATCAACAAAGAGTTTCTGATTTTCTAAGTGAAAAATCTTTTTACAAAAAGTCCAAAGCAACAGAGGCCTATTACTCAGAAACGATGTGTGTCGGTATGTCACTGTGAGATTTCACGGCAGATTTAATCGGATCAACATCCATCTTCAAGCTCTAAAATAAAGAAACAGAAGCTATTTAAAGCATCTTTTAAGCAATAACCAGAAGGTTACGAACATGAACCTGAGAATTGAATTCAACAATGAATCATTAAAACTACTTATTGTCGACAGACTTATTATTTCGACATGGACATCTCTCTTATTCCTTTGCATGGGTCCAGCCTTAAGGGCTGTTGGAAGAATTTTGTCCCGATCGAATGAGGATCTTTTTTTCTTAAGCGACATCTGACGGTTTCTTTGTGCGGTTCATTTATTTTCTTCCCAGACACTTAAGCCCGGTCAGCACAAAATTCACGGGTCTCTTAACATGGCGACAGCTGAGCCGGTTACTGATGATGCTAGAAACCTGAAAACCAAATAGTTCAAACAACAACAACAACAACAGTGCTGAGAGAGGCGTTTAGCCCACAGAGTGGGCTCTGCAGTGCAGCGCGGCAGCAGTGAGGTAACCGGTTGGGCGCGCTCACCTGCACTAACATGCACTAAAAGCATGAAGCATGAGCGGCCTGCTCAACTATGTCGACAACTCCGAGGTGATCGGATTACATACACACACACACACACACACACACACACACAGGAAGAGTGGCTTCACTGCCTGCTCAGGACAATATTACTTCACTATAGTTTCACATTAAAAAACACGGCGTGGAGGACTTAACAAAATGATCAAAGCCGTGAGCGTGACGTTCTGAGCACGGGTCTTTTTTTTTTTTTTTTTTTCCAGGCCTAAAAACTTACCTGATCTCGGGAAGGAGGTTGGAGCTGGTTGATGCGCAGTGCAGCTGTTCTCAGGTGGGGCTGTCGGGCAGAGATCTGGGGGGGGTCAGCTTGTCCTCCTGTCCTCAGGCCCGGGCCCCGGACCTCATCCCGGAGGGAGCGGAGGCTGCAGAGCCCCTGCTGCCCCACCAACCTCCGGACAGGATCGCTGTAAGTCTGCAGAAACAAAACCTTTTGGGTAAAATATAGACATGGAGCAATCTGCTATTATTATGTGATGGTTTGTGGGTGTTTTACAACACTGTCTTTGTTTTGGCATTCACTTTTTTCTATTTGCACATTTTCCACTATCAAATGAATTTAACATTCATGAGTAAACTGGTCTGATTTACATGTCATCTAAGTGCAGGCAGTCCTTTAGCCGCAGTGCCAGTCCTCATTTAGGTGTTGTGATATTCTCAAACTGCTCATGTGTGATATGTTTTAATTTGTCCACTTCTCCCACCGCTGTCCTTTTGTCCGTCTAGCCTCCCTTTGTGTCCCGCAGTGGCATCTTGTCTTCCGGGGCGGAGCTGGGTGAAGATGTTACTGTGCTGAACGGCTGCCAGGAAGAGCACAAGAGCAGCAGTGCCAAGGTACAACGCCGGGGTTCTTTAAATCCTTAAATTAGCTCAGAAAAGACCTTCAATTCACGTAAATTCAATCAATTTTGCTTTGCTTTCAATCAATTAAAAGTCTTAAATATGCAAAGATGTGGGAATTAGGATTTTGAGATGATCCTACACCCATCCTTTCTCTATGTTCTCCTAACTCTCCTTCTCCTCCATATCCTGAAGCTTGTCCCTCTCTTCTTCACCTTCTCATCCTGATCCAGTTCATGCCAGGTCACAGCCCCCGAGCGGCCAACGGCCTCCTGAGTCCTCTTCTGGAGGAGCCGGCGCGAGCCAGCCAGAGCTCCCTGTGCAACATGCTTCAGGAGAAAGAGAAGAAGACCAGCACCAGCACGGGAACTGGCACCAGTCTGGTCTTGGCTGGTGGCTCCGGGACGGCCGGCCCGGGAATGGATCACTCCGCTCTGATCCAGCTGCGCGCCAAGAACTCCCGAGAAAAGAGCGACGTCCACTTTGTGGATGTTATCAGGGAGGACAGGTGAGCAGAGAGGTCAAAGGTCGAGTTTATGAACTGATAATTTCCCTCATGGGTAACGGATTTTCCATGATGATGGTTGTAGAGGAAGGGATTATATATTTTCACAGAATTATGTGAATGATTAAAAGTTCTCTACACAATGTTCACCATCTCAACTTGTGTTTCTATCCACACCCGCGACCAGTCAACCCTGAGGATAATGAATAGTGTAATATGATGCGTTCACCCTTGCATATTACATGTGTAAATCAACACTGACACAACTATGCAAACTCCACACAGAACGTCCTTAGGGTGCTCGTAAAAAAGAGTTATTGCTATACAATAACTTGATACCGCTACATTCAGAGTCCATAGGATAGTATGTATGCATGAGTATGATTGCTTTGAGCTGGGAGTTAAACTTAACACAACTGGTCAAACAATGCCCTAAAAACATAAAACAACATATTTGTTGTTTATTTATTTTGAGAAATACATTATTTCCTATTGGAATAAATATTACCTCATATATTGCCCTGTTTCTCTGGTTCATAGTCTGATGAAAGACTACTTCTTCAAGCCACCCATCAACAAGATCAGCCTCAACTTCCTTGAGAGACCACTGGAGAAAGCGTATCGCAGCAGCTACAAAGAGGAGGTACAATCATCAGACTCATCATTGTCTCACTCAACTTTAACTTTAGTGTAATTATTGTACAAACAATAGCGTTAGTGGGGATTTATAGAGTGTGATGTAAAAGAACCGTTTTTCCACATTAGTGCAACACATTGTCACGCTCACAGGTCCTGCTCCACTCGGCCTACCTGGACCTCACAGGACCTCACAGCCTCGAAGCCCCCTTCTGTTACACCACTGTTACTACAGAGCTCCGAAACACTCGCGTTCAACCTCTTCAGTTCGCTTCATTTCGCTGTTCTACTGCAATGCTCATTTACAGCTCATATGTACTTGTCCGTGGCTGAGCTGTGAAATGCAATGTCAATGTATGTATACATATATGTATATACATATATTATGTACACATAAGTACAACCAAAATCTACTGCATACTGAAAACTATTTGAATTTTGAGTTGATTTTACTACACACTGAAAAAACACTTAGTCAGCCACCAATCACCATGTTTTTTTTAATTTTCATATCCTTATAGCCATATATTTATTTTCATTGTTTGACAATTTTTTACTCTTTCAAAAGTAAGCGAGGGAGTCGACAGACCAGATGAGCTCGCGTATACTCCCACGTACACAAAAATTCCTCCACTTTTTTAGATTCCTCCAAAAACTTGGCCACTTGTGTCTCCCTCTTCCCACTCCAGGTGAAGAACCTGGTGCAAGTGCAGACATTTGCGAGCACCACCTTCAGCTCCTTCCTGGACGTCCTTCTCAGCTGTTTTGTCTTCCTGTCTCTGACGCTGGCCTGTTTCCTTCCGCCTCTGGTGAGCCCGGCCTCTGTGGGCCCTCCGGCTCCCGCCGCCTTGGCCCTGGCTCCCCTGGCCGGCCTGTTGGAGCTGGCCTCCCTGGTGCTCTCCATACGGTGAGGACGCGGAGTCTGTGCGTTCACTTTTGTGTGTGTGCAATTTACTTTACCCGGCAAGATGGAAAAGGGGCTGTCGTGTTGTCAGCGTCGTGTCTGTGTTTGTTTCTAGATTGGGAATAAAAACACTCAATCATCTGGTGATCTTCCATGTTATGTGGCCCCATAGGGAAACTTTAGATAAATATAACTGTTCCCTACGTAGTTATCAGTTGTAGTCATTTAAGATGATCAGATGAGCGATCAAACACAAAGTTTGTGCAGCACGTTGTTAGGTGCCACATTTCCGAATAATATTTCAAATTAAATGTTGACATTTTCAAACAAAGCAAGGAGACAAAGACACAGGTTCTTACTGTATAATTTAGAAGGATCTGATAACACCGCTGAAAGGTCACCCTCTGTCTGGTTGTCCTCCTCCACTGCAGCATGGCCTTCTACCTGGAGAAAGTGATGAACTGTACCCGCTCCCTGCTCCTGGTGGTCTCTGGATGGGTCCCCCGGCACGTGATTGGGGCCGTGTTGGTCTCCCTTCCTGCCATCTCTGTCTTGTCCCACCTCACCAGCAGCATCCACCTGCCCCTCCAGGTACACTGGGAAAGACACATTTTGTTAAATGGTAGATGGACATTTTGATTTTGGGTTGAAACATCCAACGTATGCTGTTGCACTACATCCTTCTCTGTTCCTTACTAATATTTAACTAAATTGCTGCTGCAGCTGTTGATGCAGCTATCACTATGGCCACTGGTAGCCGTTCTGCAGCTGATCTAACTACTGGAAGGGTTCGTCCTCCCTCCCTCACTCACTCACTCACTCACTGAGAGGAGTTGGCAGTTTGAGATCTTGCCCACGCTGGTTTGAAGCCAGAGATCTTCGGGGGCCAGCAGGGCCGTTAGCTGGCATTAGCCCTTTTAGGGACTCTAGAAGGAAAAGAGCTTGGAGGTTCAGGAGGCTTCGTCTGTGGACTTTGGCGCACAGAATGTTGACATTTCTTCTTCTCGGAGTCCTTTATGTGAGAAGACTGAGAGCAGCCAAACTTCAGCATTTCTTCTTTTGCTGTTTTGATTCGGGGCCATCTGCATCGGCGTGATCCTCTCTTTCCAGTGTTGAGCCAACGGCTGCCTGCAAAATGTGTGCTGTTTTCATATCTTGTTTTTAAGGGATTTTCAACACTCCATCTCTCTATCGCCGTCCCTTCCATGTCTCAAGTCTCTCTTTGATGAGACAACATATTATATCTATCTATTCCTGATATCTCCTCTCTGTATATAATAGTCTAATGTAACTCACTGAGAAGTGAAATCCAACACATTGTTAATAGAATCAGTGTGTGCTTGTGCGTCCACTCTTCACAACAATTAACTAATAGTAGGACCCATCAAAACAGTGACCAATGGGTGTGTCGCAACCCTGACGAATATGCAGAACTATGGAGAATCCTTCCTTATTTGAATCACCTCATCCATGTCTTTGTGCTTTGCCATTTGTTTCTGTTTGGCTTTTTAAGGTATAGTGACGAGCCCTGTCTCTGCAGGTGACCATGTTCCTGTGCTGCGCCACCATCCTGGCCATCATCCAGTATTGTAACTTCTGTCAGCTGAGCTTTTGGATGCGCTCAGTCCTGGCCACTTCTACAGGGGTCGCCCTGCTGCTGTTGCTGTACATCCCCATGCACAGGTACCGGTGAGCGTGTGTTATTTGCACACCTGCAAAAATACCAAATGCAGCTCTGCAGTAAACACACACATACGCAAGTCACCAGATACTGCACACAAGCGGACATACAGGTTTATACTATATGCACTAGTTGTGGCCTCTCACATTCCATTCAATTAAAAGACTTCATACCGAATCTCACACACGTGAAATATGATCGCATCGATCATCATGCAGTGGTAGAAAATGAATGTTGAATGTTTTAAATGAATAAATAGATGTATGATCCTGTCCTTGATAAACAGGTTGCGTTTATGCATTAATTCATTATTCTCAAACATTGTCATTTGTTTTGTTAGTCCATGACTCAAAGACAAGAATCTCCTTGTTCAATATAATCTGGATTATGTTCGTTCATGTGTGCGTTTGTTCGTGAGCGTTTTTTTTCCCCTTGACTGACACCACTCTGGTCGTCTTTCAGCTCTGGTAATCACAGCTTGCCAGTTCAAAGGTGAGTGTCTCTGTTTCTTACATTCAGTGTGTGTACCCAATTAACAAACAATTAGTTTAAGGCACTATTTTGGTTACAGTCTACATTGTTCAGATTACAAAAACTGACCCGAGAAACTAAATTTCGCAGTGCTTCATCTGTCCGCTACAATGTACCGCAACCCGCTTTGTAAATAAGGGAGATTTTATCCCACATGTAGTTGGACTCGAGACTTGGATTTTCCATCTCCCACAATGCTTTTTGATAGCGACCCCATAGAAGCTGCAGGATAACCAAGCTGTTTTCGGTCAAAGATGAACATGTACCTAGTTAGTCATTTCTATGATGAATTTTATCCCTTTGGTAACATTGCTTGATTAAAAGTACACACTAGCTTGATGACCTTGGGTGACTGGCGTGGATCACGTATGCTGGTGGCATGTCGTCTTCGTGTAGCACACAGCACCTCTCAGCAAACTGCTACAGGAGATGCAAGACAACATCAGAAGCTGTTTTCAACCCTGTTTCTGCTGTTTCTGGTTTCTGTTTGCTTTTCCTACGTCGGTCTTGAAACACTTCTTCTGTTTTCTCCGGTTGTTCGCTCAGACTGAACAGCTCCACGTCCACTGATGGTGACTCAGCATTGCTCACACCTGAACCTTCCCTGCAACCTCTTGACCTTCTGGTCCCGGAGGCTGTCCTGGCCTTCTTCCTGCTTCTTCTCCTGGTCTGGTTCCTCAACCGTGAGTTTGAGGTCAGCTACCATCTCCATTACCACGGCAACGTGGAGGCTGACAAACACCGCTTCAAGATCCAGACCATGCGAGACCAGGCGGAGTGGTTACTAGGCAACATCATCCCCATCCATGTCGCTGACCAGCTCAAGGTTTCTGAAGATTTTAAAAATATATCAGAGTTCATCAGAACAGTGCCTGATACATCTATTAGTTCTGTAATGCATAGCACACCTGTATCCAACGATACATTCTTCTTAAATGAAAAAGATGGATATAAATGATAACCATAAATATGAGGATATCTTAGAGTTCAATCTGTTTGACCACGTTCATTGTTTGCTCAGGTGACCCAGAGCTACTCCAAGAATCACGACAGTGTGGGCGTGATCTTCGCCAGTATCGTAAACTTCAGCGAGTTCTACGAGGAGAGCTACGAGGGTGGAAAAGAGTGCTACCGAGTTCTTAATGAGTTAATTGGAGACTTCGACGAGCTCCTTCGCCGACCCGAGTTCAAAAGCGTGGAAAAGATCAAGACAATCGGGGCCACCTACATGGCCGCGTCCGGCCTGAACGTCCGCCAGCTGGCTGAGGACGAAGACGACTCTCCGCACGCTCACCTGAGGGCGCTTTTTAACTTTGCCCTGGAGATGATGGGCGTCCTGGACGACTTCAACAAGAACATGCTGGGATTTGGCTTCAAGCTGCGGATAGGGTTTAACCACGGGCCGCTGACAGCGGGCGTGATCGGCACCACCAAGCTGCTCTACGACATCTGGGGTGACACGGTCAACATCGCCAGCCGCATGGACTCCACCGGGGTGGAGTGCCGGGTGCAGGTGAGCGAGGAGAGCCACGCCGTGCTCAGGGCCATGGGCCTGGAGTTTGACTATAGAGGTACAGTTAATGTTAAGGGCAAAGGTCAAATGAGGACCTTTCTGTTCCCCAAGAGTGGGGAAAGTATACATCAGGATCGAGCGGAGAAGGGCGAGAGCCTCGGCATCTCCTCCGTGGCGCCGACCGTGAATACTCCTCCTCCCTCTCCTCCCACTCCTTCCTCCTCCTATGTCTCCACTCTCACTCCTCAACCGCAGAGTGCTGCAAGGCCTTCAAGAGCCGGGCCGGAGCCTGTGCAGGCAAAGTCAACAGAGGCGAGGGAAGAGGGGTATAGGGACCCTCCGCACCTCCCTGGGCAGCCGCCTGCCACCGACCTTCCCCACTCTGAACTGGGCCTCCAGCCTTGTGCTGCACTAGAGCCCTTCCGGGTGCAGTCCGCTCCTCTCGCACAAGAGGAGGAGGAAGAGGCGGAGGCCAGCGAGCTATCGAAACTCAACGAGGAGTTTTACGCTCGTCTCTGATCCCTCGTCTCCTCTTCCTGTGACTTCTGTCCCCTTGCCGCCCCGCCTGCTGCCCGACTGACCGACCGACCGCAGCGTGTCCTTTTCTTTAGGCATCGTTGGAGCGTCTTTAGAGGCAGTATGTCACTCTGACACAAGCAGGAGCTATGAACAAAAGGCTATGGATGTGTTACATGGTGATGTTGAGGTGGCGGGGGGGGGTTGGACCTGTGTTGATCGCAGCAGTTTAGGTTAGAAGACAAAGAAAAGGGCTCAGAAAGAAGGAAGACCGTCGGTGATGTTTTAGGTGTTTTTTATTTTTCATTTTTGTTATTAAGTGCCTTCATGACGAGAACATTGAATGAACAAATATAAATTACTGAACAAAGTTTAACAATGTTGGACACCAGGACATGTTGTGGACTCCTGCCCCATGCTTTTATTTTGTAATGCAAGTATTTCTTAAAAGAATAATTATTGTTGTGCCATATTATTAGTTTTAACGTGATCAAAGTCTAAAGGGAAGAATATTTTAGGTTTTTTTATAAGCGTAAGTGGAGCATGATGGGCTGAGCAGGGAATTATGGGATGGATGAGGGAATCACATTGAGCAGTGTTAATGTATGTATTCTGCTTTGACTTGAGGGCTTTGCACAGTATTCATTTGTGATGGAGTCTCAGTAAAATGAGACACGCTACACAGCAGACTGCATATATTTTAGTTTGTGTAGCAGCTAAATGCACATTTTAAGCACAGGTCTTGCACAGTGTTTTCCCGACCACTTGTATTTGGAAGTTATCGACGTGAAAGGCTGTTAAAACGGCTGCTCATGTCTTCAATGGGAACGTTGAAGTGGCTTTGAGAACATTCAAACACAGTTCTTGTCAGTCGAAACGAGTACAACTAAAAGCACAACTTTAAAACCGATAAGGGAATATAGATTTGGAAGAAAGGTTTTTTTTTTATTAAATTGAGATCATCACAAAAGCAGGAAGGCACTTTAAATATTCTTAAAAGGATACTCCCCCGAGATGTGTCTTTTGAGTATGAAACACAATTACAACAGTGGGCACTGTTGTAATTTTTATTACTTTGTCTTTTTCATCATAACAGACAGCAAAGTAATGACTTTGAAGAAAACAAGAGAAAGTGCATATTTACTGCAGCCGGATCATGAATGTGGGAGTGACTCAAAATGAGAATGCGCAGCCCATTTTTGTTGCAGTGAACGAAGATGGCACCCAGTGCAACAATGTGGCTAATAGAAAATGTTTTATTACTTTTTGCTCAACAACGGAGCTCCGAGGCACAGAGCAATTAGATCAAACTGGCTACACAGGCGATAATTTGATCGAGACTCTGGGTGAGTCGTGTCACGTGTAGTGGGCCTGTGATGGACCATCGCTGTGTAGTTGTTGATAGAGAGGAAAGGGTGGTCTTAATTGTTGTGGGTTAAAAGTGTCAAAATTCAGATCAATCGCAGTTTCTTCAGTGGTATTTAAAACCTCGCGCTCCAATTTTGTTCCAATCGTTGCCTTTATCACCAAAAGACAGCCATGGGTTCACTGCATAGATGTATTCAATAGTTGGGTATTGTCTGCCTTTAGCTGTGTGATTTGCTGTGGAAGGGGTGAGACTTTATACGTAGGGGGCCCTCTACTGTATCAATGTACTTCAATCGTGCCACTTTAATTGAGTGATCTATAGGTGCAGTGCAACCTGAACTAGCTGATTTGTTTTGAGGTGCCTAAAAAGTATGACTGTATTTTTTGAGTATCCTTGTTTTCAGAACGTTTTTTTATCATGCTGTTTTCATAATGAGGATAGATTATAATTATATATTTTAGGAAATGATGCTGGTTGTTTAGGATATTGCTGCAATTTTATTTCTTGGGACAAATTCTTTTTTTTTTCTTTCACTTTTCTTTCAGTTCTTTCAGTCTGCCAATATCCCGCTGGAGTGAGGTGGTGGCGGCACTAATATTAATAGCTGGCACGTCTGTTGTTCTTTCTCCTTTACTCACTTCATGCTTCTGTCTTTACTCCTTAGATCACTTGTTTCCCCCCCTGTACTGTGGTGTGTGTGTGTGTGTGTGTGTGTGTGTGTGTGTGTGTGAGAAAGATATTTCATCTCTACTTCGAGTCAATAACAGAGAAAAGATGACAGAAAAAACAATCAACTACACTGCCACTCTTAAACTCTTATCTTGCTAATGATACTTTATCCTTAGAAGAATGTAACGCACTTAGTTGCATTCGTTGAAATCGAGAAAAAAGTCTTCAAAGTTGGTAATCTGATCTTGCAAACCCACGTGACAGGTCAACCATATTAAATGATGTAGCTGTCTCCATCCGTAGCATAAAAAGCAGTTTTCCGTTACCATGGTGCCCTCCAAACATACACAACCAGTGCCTTTTGAATTAGGAATGTGTTAGAACTGTGATTTATTTTCTATCAAATAATCTTTGGATCATAATCAAATCCAAAGATGTTTCTCCGGAAGTTGTCACTCTAAATCAAGATCCAAAAGTATCTACAGGAGATTTGTTTGCACAAATCCTTTGTCGTCACTATTTAAAATATTTCCCAGATCACCCTTCGACCCCCACATTAGTGAATTAATCTGTGGTGATTTTCAGGACCCGTCACTAGATTCGAGATGTGGGGCTCCACCCTGTTTGATGGGGCACCACCTCTCCAGTAGCGACCGTCTGTCGACACGTAAGAATAAAATATTTAAGTGAACACGGCTCGCTCTGTTATCTCTGTGTGTGTGTGTGTGTGTGTGTGTGTGTGTGTGTGTGTGTGTGTGTGTGTGTGTGTGTGTGTGTGTGTGTACTGGGGGGGAGGGAGGGTTTAACACACTACAGCTTCATTCTGACTCTGCACCGTGCTGCATCATTCTTTTGTTTTTTCATTTCAATATAATTATTTCTACACTTATGTTGAACAATAAGTATGTGCTGCAGGAGGTATTCACTAAGCTTTGCTCATTTAAGGTTACTTTGATTGTATCCTTCGCTCTCAGTGTATTGGTGATGTGTGTATGCCAAAAATTGTTTTGGTTATGTCCGAGGGAAAGAAAGTAGGTTCAGAGCTCCAGTTCACAGGTAACACAGCTCCAAAAAACAGGCTCTTTTCATTGAGGGAAAGTTGTCATTCAATCATCTTCTTCAAAATAAAAATGTAAATTTGCTTTGTGAAAGAAAAATAGGGGGACGTTTTATTGGCCCTTCTGAATTAATCACAGTAAAACCGCATCGCCTAATCATTTAAGTTGTGACAGCGCCACATATTTTCATTATAAAGTCAACCTGTATGTGTATTGAATTACACTGGGATAGAAATTAGACAATTGGTTGATTTAAAATCTTTGTGTATTTGTGTTATGTTCATGAATGAGATGTATCATGTATGTTTTTGTGCACATTACCCATGTATCATTTATCAACACACGACCGTAATCTGTACACATTTGCACAAAGCACTCAGTGTTTGTACATTATTTTATGTCACGTATGATTTTTTTTTTTTTATACATGTGCATGTGTCAGATTTTGCCGGAAAACAATGAAAAAGCAACACATATCATCAGCTTGGTTCAATGTGTGTCTGTTTAAAGTGTGAGGGATATTATTTCAAAACGTGGAGAAATAAATCTCCAAGCAGAAAAAACTTGAGTGCGCTGAGAAATATGAAGTGGACATAAATTCATGTTAATAGCCTGATTATCGGACCGAATTGCAATTTGCTGATTAAGTCAGACGTGGGCATGTTTTGGAAAGATAGTCCCAAATCTGTCAATAAGGTGGGAGTCTTTAATCAGCGAGCTGATGACAAAAATGATCTTATAATGTGATTAGTACATTTGACTAAATATTGACTGCCGGAACCTACATGAGATAATGACAATGCAACACAGACGTCTAATGAATCCAATAATTAAATACATGAATAAAGTTGATTTATATATATATACGTTTAATGTAATAGTAATTATATATAATACGTATAATACATCATAGCATATTTGAATAGCGCTAACTGTAATACACACGCAAAGTGCTTTGACTCCGCACCTCCTGCGGGGCCGCAGCGCCCCCGGCGGTCAGCGGCGGCGGTGTTTTCACGCAGGGCGTGATTGCGCGGCCCCTCCCCCTCCACAGACGATCTGGAAAAGAAAAAAAAACTTTTTTGTATCGAAGGAATCAACAGCCGCCATCTTGTCGTGGCTCGGAATTAGGATTTCGGTCCAACACTGGCTTTTACGTAGGAAATCGAGCAACCTTTCCGTGATATGACAGCGTCCTTCCCCAGAAAACGACTTCTTAACGTCGCCTCGGAGACATTTTGTGTGAAAAAACGGGAATAGGATCGGTGGTCGTCGGGCAAAAACGCTCCGTATATCTGATTTCCCCCTTCGGAGTGCGGCGATTCAGCCCTGACGCCGTTCACGAGCAGTATTGTTTACCGTGGCCAAGCGGAGACCACGTCGTGACCTTCGAGGTGATTTGCAAAAATACAGCATTTTTATGCAATAGTGCATTTTGCGGAGCTTCGCGCGATTTTTGCATGAAGAGATTTGACGTCACGCCAAAATGGGTACTTCGAACCTCTAGAAATTGTGACGTTTCCAACGGAATGCAGCATAACAACCGATTTTATTAGGTTATCAATTTGAATTTCCATTTTTCTTTCATGGGGCGAATTTTATTTTGGGGTATTTAACGACGATAATGTGGGTGTTGGGTGTTGGATTATCATGGGGTGAATGGCGGTGGCGAAGCGGGGCGCTATTGCATCTCTTTTGAAAGACACTCGCAGCACCGAGTAGCTAACGCTAACAGTTAATTTAGCTGGTAGCCGGCAATTAGCTAACGTTAGCTATTAGCCAGTTAGCTAGCGTTAGCAGGCTGCCAGCTCGCTAATGTGTTAATCGTGACGGTCGGGGTTGATCTCAAACAACGTGCCTGGCCAAAGGTAAACTGACGTCTTCAACTCAAGCGAACCACCCGGACGAGAAAACAACTATGGCTGAAAACCTGCTGGAAGCCGGACCTCCCAACTCCAAGCGGCCGAAACTGAGTTCACCTGCCCTGTCAGCGTCTGATGGACCAGGTAAAGGCCTCAACACTGTTTGCACAACGCAACGTCAAACGCGAACCTATTGGGAGACGCCAACTTAACTTCGCCACGACACGCTGGTTCCTAAACGTGTTGACCAGCCGCGCAGCACCTTTCCTGGAAGCCGGCAGGTCGGCGCGCTGTGTCGGCGGGCAGTTGTGTTGCTGTGTTTTTTACTGCAGTGTTGTGGTTTGTTTCTGCGGGCGGCGAGTTAACTGCAATGACACTCGATCGGTGAGTTTTTATTAGGCGAGCTCGTCTTGTGCTGCTAATGGCGGTGCTTTTAATTACATTCCTGGATTAAAGAATACCTCCATGTGGTAACGTTGTAGTTCAACACAATACAACGAGACCGCAAACTGGAGTTTACAAAATGTCCTCAGTTAAAGCAACGCCTCTATACAGCAGTCAAAGCAGAAAAAAGGGGTTGAAGGGTGGGAAGTTGCAATTTCTTTTTTTTTTTTTTGCAGCGCTCATTCTTTACATAACACCAGTTTTTTAACTTTGTGATTGACACCGACAACCGAGTTTAAGGATGTTACCAAAGAGTGTGTCTGTTATCAAGCATCAAAACAGCACTTAATGGAGGAACGTGTGTAGTGTCAGTGGTGATTTGTATCATAGATCTGATGGCCTTCTGTGACATCTTTAAGCCGTGAATCTCTTCCATACTCAAATAATGCATAATAATCTATGGCATGTCAGAATCAGAAGCCATGTCATATTAATCATCTTAAAATATATCTAATGTAGCTAAGCAGATTTCAATGCTATATCATTTCATAACACGTACAATTTAAGTGAGATTTCCTTTTATTTGCGGTGTGTAGTTCATTAAGGAGGTACTTGCCTTGCAGAAGGAAAAAGGGAAACTCAGACAATGTTTTTGAAACAGCTTGATTCAGCTACCAATTGTAAAAAAAAAAAAAAAAAAAAAAAAAGTGAGTTAGCGGAGACATACACAATCTCCTTGGCCACATCATCCATAAGAAAGTGTAGGAGTCCACACACTGATCTGGTAATGACGCGGCTACCTGTGATTGTGCAGTAGCGGTTTCATTTGCGGCTTATGGTTAATTACCAACCCGGAATTTTTCTTCTAGCCTTTTGACCCTTACGGTGTGTCATTTTTTTTCATATAAAGGTTTGGTATTTTGTGACACTCCCTGGCTGTGTGGCAGATGACTGACACACTTCTGAGGTAAGGAGTTGTTAGGAATTTATTTCTTCGGTAGGAGTAAACATGTAACATTAGCTTGCAGACCACTCCTGTAGTCTAAACTGTAACTATACACTATTGAGACTAACTTAACAATTGAAGTACAGAAGGAATCAATGGCGAGAAACAATCTGTTAAGGTACGTTCACATGGAACACGTCTCCAGCGTTTTCTGCCACAGGATGCCGGCGAGGTCGCTGCGATTTTGGTCGCTCGCAGCAAACGCGAAAGTTGAAATACTCCATTTTTTTTGCGACAAAACACCCATCAGAGCCGAGATGCTCCCCATCGTCCCCGAAGACTTGCAGACAGCGGTATCGGCTAGCACCATGTACCGCTGGAAGCGGCAGTCATCCAGATGCAGTTCCTGTAGAAGTCGGTGAAGTTTATCATAAACCACGCCCCCTCTCCGTCGCATCGGGCACGACTACGCGATGCATGCGGACTGACCACAAATGTACCCCGAGAGTCCTGCGGCGCATTTATTAGAGCGTTAAGAGCGTTTGAGGCGATGCAACACATTTGCGCCGCGTTCGGTGTGCCCATAGCATTTGACCTCCGGCAAACAGCGTTGTGGATATCACCGTGATCACGAGGACTTCTTTTACCTTCTTGTTGCTCAGTGTTCAAGTGTTAATGCTGGTAAATTTACTGTATGTTCATGTGTGAATTGGTCCTATCAAAGGTCCTACCTTAGATTGCGGTCTCCTCACACTAAAGTTTCCAGCTAAACCACAGACAGCGTGGACAAGTGGTTGTTGGAGAAAGCAAACCATCGGTCAGTTAAGTTTTCTCAAATGTTGTCGACCAACATGAATTTAAATGAATACTGATTTGCAATGTATCTGCTGCACATGTAATAAGTCAATGGTTTTTCTAATGCATTAACCATAAGAACTTTATTTGCAAATAGTATGAATGAAACGCCCTTCAGTCGACATAAATATCTTACTGCTGTTCTAATGTTATGTTGGTTTTTAAAGCCAGTACTTGGCCTGCTGCTGTGTTACACCCAAAGGTATATTCAGTAGGTTTCTGCGAGGGGGGGGGGGTCTCTATTTGTGCAAAGATACGTTGGCGATAAGATGGCGTTGTAGGGATGTGAATTCACAGCCAGGCAAATGTTTTCCTTGAACGCATCAAGTCTTTCAAATGGCATGTTTCCCCATCGTTTGGTTGAGTTTGGTGCGCAATAAAAATAGTTGGACAGCCGTTGGACAAAAGCAGCTGACAAGACGAAGAGTTAAAGCACACATGGCAAAGGCACCACATGTTTGCAATGAACAATCGTTAAACCTGTCCCGCCTGCTCTTTATAGTTTTGGCCCGTCATCATTGGGACCTAACGGACCCCTTGGGACAGAACTGGGCTGCACTGTCATTGGTCATAAATTACTGCAGATAAAGACTTTGGTTTTGGTCTTTGACGGCAGTGATGCCTGAAGCTCTGTGCGCAGCACCACTTGTCCTTGACATTAGACCTTTGCCTTTTCACCAGCCCCTGGTTGGATTTTCACGTCCCATTTTGGGGTGTGTGGAGCGGTGCTTGCATAATGAAATATGTAGTACGCCATACATCCTTCCAGGGTGTGTGTATTTTCTTTACTGTACGTTTGGCGATTATACACGGGCCTCCTGTTGCTCTATTCAAGCCACGTGAACCCCTCCCCACCGATGTGACATTTTGTTACTTGTGGGGATATTTCCAGAAAACGCTAGCAGCTAACTCCCAGCCACCAAAAGTGAAACCTGTGGGTGGAGAACACTGACGTGGGCGACTTACCCTCCACGAGGACCAGATCAACTGCCGCTACCAGGGGCGGCTTGAACGGGTGCGGGTCCCTGCCAAATATGTATAAAATATGTTGGATGTCATATAGTTTCCCTTCACGTCACAACGCTTTTGCTCCCACATGATGCAGGTATGCTAGTAACTGAGTCGCAGTATGCCGCGGTTGTTTGGTTCACCTTGGAAAAAGCAAAGACTGCTTAATGGCAGATAATTGTTGCGGCAGTATTGCAGAATCTTTCTGGGGAAGGGGGTTAGTGAAACCCCCAAATGTCCGCTTCCACTATGCAAATGGCATGTTTTAAAGCCCTGCAGGCACTCGGTAAGCTCATGACGCAGCTGCTAATGGAGCCATTTATGTTTTTGACTACGGGCGACCAGAAAACCCTGCAGCAAAAGAAGGGGGAGCAGCAAAACAGACCACGGGGGGCTGGAGGGTGTTTTTCACCACGTACCATGTGAA